AAGTGAAGGTGACGATGCCGTCGCTGTCTGCTGTGCCGAGATCTGGAACAAAATCAAGAACGAAGACATTATTTTTCAGGACAGCCTTTCCGATGTAAAGGCCTCCTCTCCCGTGGTACAACTTGAATTCTTGAGTGGTGCTGTCTGCTTCAAGATGGATGCCCTTCGCCATCAGCTGGTTGACGCTGAGTAAGTTATATCCAAGTCCTTCTGCTATCAGAACTTTTGGCATCTGTAGTATCACGTTTGTTTCTCGTGACTGAAGTTGAACCACTCCTTGTCGTCGTGTGCGCAGGTTTTGGTTGTTGGCGACGGTGATGACTACTTCGCGTTGGAGTTGGTATTCCTGCTGCACGAAGCGTCCTGAGGAGCACATGTGTTGTCCGCAGCAACTGTCCAAGAACCAGGTGTCTTTCCCGGATGGCTCGCTCTGGGCGATGGCTGCGTACGTTGGATTCAGTTGAAATGACTCGCGGCGAGGTGTGGTGTTGTCGAGTTGTTCTTCCGGTGAGTAGTGTGGCGGTGACTCGGTGATGCAGGAATCGGTCAATTTTGCCATGCAACTGACGATGTTCCTTGCTCCTTGTGCAGGTTGTCCTGTTGAAGTCGTTGAGGCTTTAATCTGGGTCGTAGGATTTGCTTGTGTTGAGGCAACTTGATTGCTTGAAGGTCGAAGCTGCCGCTGTGAAGCCGTTGACTGTTGTCGATTCGGGCAGTGCGTGCGCGGGTGTCCCGACGTCTTGCAGATGTGGCAGAACGTGTCAAACATTATATATGTTGTGTTAGTTTAGGCTACAGTGGGTTAGCCTATAGGGGGTACACAATTCTAGGGTTAGGTACTTGTACTCTTTTCATTGCTAGTTCATTCATTCCTGTTCAGTGATTCCAACATGGTATAGAGCAGGTCCTTCCTAGGACCGAAATTTTCTAAGGGCCCACCACTACGTCACTACCTACCTACCTACCTACCCGTGCCCTAGGGCGCCTCGGCGTGTCACGCCCCTAGAGGCCCCTCTTGAAGGCCCCGCGCTAGCCCCGTTCAGGCCCCGTCGGCCCCTTTAAGGCCCCGTTCAGGCCCCGCGCTAGCCCCGTTTAGGCCCCGTCGGCCCCGTTTCAGGCCCCGTCGGCCCCACGCTAGCCCCTCTCAGGCCCCGTCGACCCGCGCTAGCCCCGTTTCAGGCCCCGTCGGCCCCCTTTTCAGGCCCCGTCGGCCCCGCGCTAGCCCCGTTCAGGCCCCGTCGGCTCGCGCTAGCCCCGTTTCAGGCCCCGTCGGCCCCGTTTCAGGCCCCGTCGGCCCCGCGCTAGCCCCTCTCAGGCCCCGTCGGCCCGCGCTAGCCCCGTTTCAGGCCCCGTCGGCCCGCGCTAGCCCCGTTTCAGGCCCCGTAGGCCCCGCGCTAGCCCCTCTCAGGCCCCGTCGGCCCCGCGCTAGCCCCATTCAGGCCCCGATCAGGCCCGCGCTAGCCCCGTTTCAGGCCCCTTCGGCCCCGTTTCAGGCCCCGTCGGCCCCGCGCTAGCCCCGTTCGGCCCCGTCGGCCCCTTGCTAACCCCGTCAAGGCCCCGTTTGGCCCCGCGCTAGCCCCGCTCAGGCTCCGATCGGCCCCGCGCTCGCCCCTCTAGGGCCCCAACCGGCCCCGTGCCTACCTCGCCGACCCGTGCCCACCACCCAGAGGCCCCGGGCGGCCCGTTCCCGCCGCAGCACAAGAGGGAGAGCGGGCGGCCCGTCCCCGCCATGACCTGAGCCGAGCCGCGCGCCCCGAGCCGAGCCGCGCCACCCAGCCGAGCCGCGACCCGACCTGAACCGAGCCGCGCCGCCCTGCCCTACCTGGTTCGTCCTACCTGCTTCTCCTACCGCTACTGCTGCTATTTCTACTGTTCCTATGGCTAGCCCACAGGTTCTCGTGTTCGATGCTGAGGGCCGCCCTGTGAAGTTTGACACCTGGCTCGATGACCTGCACCTCTACCTACAGCTCACAGCCAAGGATGACATCTCACTGTACGATCACGCCCTAGGCCTTGTCACTGCCCCTGCTGCTACTGCTGACAGCACTGCTCGCTCACAGTGGCAGACTCGTGATGCCCACGCTCGCTTCGCCATTCGCAACTCCCTGCCGATAGACGAACGCGAGCACTTTGGTCACCACAAGACTGCACCGGCACTGTACACAGCTGTAGTTGCTCGCTACTCCTCACCTGCCTCTGCCGCACTAGGCCGTCTCTCCCTCCCCTACCTGTTTCCCGACCTGGCCTCCTTTCCCACAGTCGCTGACCTCATCACGCACCTCCGTACTAGTGAGGCCCGCTTCCGTGCCGCCATGCCTGCTGAGTTCCTTGCCACGCACCCCCCTCCACTCTGGCTCACTCTCTATCACCTAGTCACCCGCCTCCCTGACACACTGCGTGCTGTCAGGGACCACTTCCTAGCTCGTTGCCCCACTGAGCTCACCATTGCCCTCCTCGAGAAGGAGCTACTTGCAGCTGAGGCTAGCATAGTCGCTGTAGGTGCCTCTCGTGGCGACCCCCGTACCCCGTTCTTTGAGGGGTGTTCTCCTTCCCCCCTTCTTCCCTCTGTCGCCTCTGCTGCTGCTGTCGACCTTCTTGGTACTGAGAAGGTCGGTACTGCGTCTGCCTCGAGCGGACGCCGCAGCGGCAAGGGCAAAGGGGGCAAGGGTAGTGGCGGTGACGGCGGGGGAGGCGGCGGTGGGGGCGGTGGAGGCAGTGGGGGTGGTGGCTCGGCTGGAGGGGCGAGTGGTAGCGGTGGGGGTGGTGGCGGCAGCGGCGGGGGAGGTGGCAGGAGTGGAGGCGGCGGTTGGGGTGGCGGTGGACGAGGCGGCGGCAGGGGTTGGGGTGGTCGAGGAGGTGGCAGCGGTGGTGGTGGCCGTGGAGGCGCTGGCGGTGGCCAGGGCCAGCAGCACACCCTCTCGCCCCAGGAGGTCCGTGAGTGGTACTCTCAGCACGGGGGTGGGGGTGGTCTTAGCTGCACGTACGTCATTCGCACTGGTGACCGCACTGGTCAGCAGTGTGGACGACCGCACGCCACACAGCGCTGCTTCTCTCGTCTCGACGACGCTTGGCGTGTTCAGTTCCCTCAGGCCACTGAGCTGCCCCGCTGGCTTGATCTCCTGAAGAAGGGGATTGATATCTATGCTCTAGACTTTGATGCTATTCTATCTGCCATGTATGTGATGTCTACTAGTGGAGAGGGTGCTGAGTACTTGTGTGTGCCGCCCGACCCGGGCATTAGGGCCAGTGCGTCTGCCGCTCCAGGTACTCACGTGTCGGCTACCCGAGGTGCTGGTGAGGCTGCTGCTCTAGGTGCTCGTGTGTCTCCCCCCCTTGGTACTGCGTCGACTGCCGCACTGCACACCTTCACACTGGACTCAGGTGCTTCTCGCTGCTTCTTTCGTGACCGCACTGCCCTTGAGCCACTTACTCGGCCAGTTGCTGTCTCCCTTGCTGACCCCTCTGGGGGTCCGGTCATTGCGACCTCTTCCACTGTCCTTCCCTGCCCTGCGGTCCCGTCGGGCACACTGTCAGGTCTCCACCTCCCCTCGTTCTCTACGAACTTGGTGGCAGGCTGTGCACTCCAGGACGGGGGTGTTCACCAGTTCACCCCTGCCTACGAGCGCGTGACACACTGCACGTGTGCTCGTACGGGCCGTCACTTGGCTACCTTCACTCGGCAGCCGGGGTCGGACCTGTACACACTGACTACTGAGTCCCCTCAGGTTGCTGCGACTGCGTCCGCGTCCGCGTCAGGTCAGCTGTCCGCCCCCTGCTCGTGTCGCTCTTTGGCACACGAGACTGTCCTCTGGCACCACCACCTTGGCCACCCGTCTGTGCAGCGGCTTCGTGCCATGCACTCCAGGTACCTTGTCTCTGGCCTGCCCAGGGTCCTTCCTCCCCTCCCACCCTCGCCTGCTCCTACCTGTCTCCCCTGTGTCGAGGGACGGCAGCGCGCCGCTCCTCACTCCTCCTCGTTCCCCCCGACGACTGCTCCCTTGCAGACACTCCACATGGACGTGTGGGGCCCAGCCCGCGTCCGTGGTCAGGGTCAGGAGAGGTACTTCCTGATAGTTGTTGACGACTACTCGCGCTACACCTCGGTCTTCCCCTTGCGCACCAAGGGTGAGGTCCCTGATGTCTTGATCCCTTGGATCCGCCGAGCCCGTCTCCAGCTCAGCGAGCGTTTTCACTCGGACTTTCCTGTCCTGCGCTTGCACTCTGACAGAGGTGGTGAGTTCTCCTCCGACCTCTTGGCAGCCTACTGTGCTGAGCACGGCATTGAGCAGTCGTTCACGCTTCCGGCTTCTCCACAGCAGAATGGGGTTGCGGAGCGCCGCATTGGCCTGGTCATGGAGGTCGCCCGTACCTCCTTGATCCATGCGGCTGCCCCCCACTTTCTGTGGCCGTTTGCGGTCCGGTACGCTGCGCATCAACTCAACCTCTGGCCCCGTGTCTCCTTGCCGGAGACCTCGCCCACGCTACTGTGGACGGGGGAGGTTGGCGATGCGTCGCGTTTCCGGGTCTGGGGGTCTCGAGCTTTTGTCCGCGATTCGTCTGCGGACAAGCTCTCCTCCCGTGCTGTTCCCTGCGTCTTCCTCGGCTTTGTCCCGGACGCGTCTGGTTGGCAGTTTTACCACGCCACCTCGCGCCGAGTCTTGCCCTCCCAGGACGTCACTTTTGACGAGTCCGTCCCCTACTACCGCCTCTTCCCCTACCGCACTGCCCCGCTCCCCCCCCCGCCTCTCTTCCTCTCGCCAGGTGCTGCTGTTGCAGACCCCCTCCCCCCTCAGGGTGCCGCTCCCTCAGGTGTGTCTCAGGTAGACCCGGTTGAGCCTGTTGAGGTAGCTGTCGACTCTCGTCCTGCTGGGGGTGCTGAGCCTGGGGGTGCTGAGCCTGGGGGTGTGGAGCCTGGGGGTGTGGAGCCTGGGGGTGTGGAGCCTGGGGGTGTGGAGCTTGAGGGTGCTGAGCTTGGGGGGGTGGAGCCTCGTGGTACTGAGCTGCGGAGTCCGGAGTCTGGGGGTTCTGCGTCTGGAGGTACGAGGTCTGGGAGTCCTGCACCTGGAGGAGCCCTCTCCTCGGAGCAGCTACGTGCGTGGTACTTAGAGTACTGCAGCCTCCGGAGAGGTACCGCTCGAGCCGGACGTCCTACTGGGACTGGTGCTAGTACTTCTTCTCCCGTTCGGGAGCTCCCCTCCCGCGAGCGGATCCGTGAGTGGTACGAGCGGCGCTGCACTCTTCGGAGTGGCGTGCCTCGTGTTACGAACCCCGCTGCTGTTGGAGCTGCTGCTGGTGCTGAGGACCCGGGCGTTGGAGCTGCTGCTGGTGCTGAGGACCCGGGCGTTGGAGCTGCTGCTGGTGCTGAGGACCCGGGCGTTGGAGCCGCTGCTGGTGCTGAGGACCCGGGCGCTGGAGCTGCTGCTGGTGCTGAGGACCCAGGCGTTGGAGCTACTGCTGGTGCTGAGGACCCGGGCGTTGGAGCTACCGCTGGTGCTGAGGACGTGGACGCTGGAGCTGCTGCTGGTGCTGCCGACCCTGGTGCGGGTGTCCCTGCTGGCTCTGGTGTCGCTGCTCGGTCTCAGCCGTACTTTGTTCCGCTCCTTCAGCAGGTTCTTGGTCAGCTTCCTCCTCCTTTTCCTCCTCCCTCCTTAGAGTGTCCTCCGCCTGTCCAGCTGCAGTCGGCGTTACCGTCTGCCTCCTCTCTCCTTGGTCCTGCTCCTTACACTGGTCCGACTGGAGGTCTTACTGAGCGGCGTGAGCCTGCGTCTCGTCCTGCGTCGCCTGAGTCTCGTCCTGGGTCGCCTGTCCGCACTGCTCTCTCTAGTCATCGAGTCCAGCGTCAGCGTCTTCCTGCTGTCCCAGGCACTCACCGGATGGCGCTTCGTCCGTCCACTGCTCCACAGCGTGTCCCACTGCCGTCTCCTCCTGCTTCCTCTCTTCCTGCTCTTCCTGACCCTGGGTCAGACTCTCTTCGTGCTACCAGTCCTGCTGTCACGCGTCTCCTGGCCACTGTTGTCACTGACCCTTCCTTTGAGTCTGCTGCTGCGTCTGCCTTAGTTGCTGAGCTTGTCGACTTTGCTGCTCGCTGTCGTCTAGACTACGCTGCTAGCCTAGTTGCTGAGTCTGAGTCTGTCTGTCCTCCGTCCGTCGGGGGTGAGTGTGCTCTTGGCACTGACGTCCTTGAGGACAGGCAGGAGGAGTTCCAGTGCTTTGCTGCCGCTTTGCCCCATCTCGTGTCCATGCTTGTTGCCCCTGAGGGAGACCCGGATGCACCAGACATCCCGACCCCACGCTCTTACGCAGAGGCGATGGCCGGTCCCTACTCCTCTCAGTGGCAGTCAGCCATGGACACAGAGATGGCTTCCTGGAAGTCCACAGGCACCTACGTCGACGAGGTTCCCCCGCCTGGGGCGAACATCGTCAGTGGCATGTGGATTTTCAGGGTGAAGCGGCCGCCGGGTTCTCCGCCTGTCTTCAAGGCGCGTTACGTTGCACGAGGCTTCAGTCAGCGCGAGGGAGTTGACTTCTTCCAGACCTTCTCCCCGACCCCGAAGATGACCACTCTTCGGGTTCTGCTGCACGTCGCCGCTCAGCGTGACTACGAGCTCCACTCGCTTGACTTCAGCACTGCTTTCCTGCAGGGCAGCCTGCACGAGGAGATCTGGCTGCGCCGTCCACCTGGCTTCACTGGGTCGTTCCCTCCTGGTACCCAGTGGAGCCTCCGACGGCCAGTCTACGGTCTCCGCCAGGCGCCTCGTGAGTGGCACGACACACTGAGGACTACGCTTGCGGCTCTTGGGTTCGCGCCTTCTACTGCTGACCCGTCGCTGTTTCTACGCACCGACACCTCACTGCCGCCGTTCTACGTCCTTGTGTACGTCGACGACTTGGTTTTTGCTACTGCTGACACTGTGGCACTCGCCCACGTGAAGTCGGAGCTGCAGAAGAGACACACGTGCACAGACCTGGGTGAACTGACAAGCTATCTTGGCTTGCGGATCACCCGGGACAGAGCACGCCGCACCATCACCTTGACTCAGTCACACATGGTGCAGCAGGTCCTTCAGCGCTTCCGCTTCACGTACTCCTCGCCTCAGCCCACTCCTCTGCCTACCGGTCACTCGCTCTCAGCTCTGCCTTCGGATGAGTCCGTAGAGCCGAGTGGCCCGTATCCAGAGCTTGTGGGTTGCCTCATGTACCTGATGACCTGCACTCGACCAGACCTTGCATACCCTCTCAGCATTCTTGCACGCTATGTCGCTCCCGGCCGTCACCGGAAGGAGCACATGGATGCAGCTAAGAGGGTGTTGCGCTACTTGTGCAGTACGTCGGGCATGGGGCTAGTGCTTGGAGGGCGAGTCCCAGTTGTTCTCACTGGACACTCAGACGCTTCTTGGGCAGACGACCAGGCTACTCAGCGGTCGTCTCAGGGTTACTCCTTCAGTCTTGGCTCTGGTTCTGTTTCTTGGCGTTCTACTCGCTCTTCTTCTGTTCTCAGCTCCAGTTGTGAGGCTGAGATCTACGCCACAGCCATGGCGGCCCAGGAGCTACGCTGGCTCACCTACTTGCTGACCGACCTTGGAGAGCAGCCTCGTTCTCCTCCAGTGCTGTACGTCGACAACAAGGCAGCCATTGCCTTGTGTGAGGAGCACAGACTGGAGCACAGAACGAAGCACATTGCTCTGCGTTACTTCCTCGCTCGAGAGCTGCAGCAGCGTGGTCAGCTTCGCCTGCGTTACGTGGCCTCTGAGGCCAACACTGCTGATGTGTTCACCAAGGCGCTTCAGCCTTGTGACCATCAGCGCTTTTGCACTCTTCTAGGCCTTGTGCCTACTGGACCTCACTTGCTTACTTCTTGAGTCTGTTGTACTGTGATCTCTATATATAAACCTGCATGTGAACTGGTCTTGTGACCACTTGCTTGTGCTCGGAATTTGTGTGGTATCCTTGAGATCCACCCTGAGCTTGTTTTGCCTTGCTTTGCCTTGACTGGTCTTGTGACCCCTAGTTCTCCCCCACTTTGCCTATGGGGGTGTGTCAAACATTATATATGTTGTGTTAGTGTAGGCTACAGTGGGTTAGCCTATAGGGGGTACACAATTCTAGGGTTAGGTACTTGTACTCTTTTCATTGCTAGTTCATTCATTCCTGTTCAGTGATTCCAACAGTTCAGTTGATGCATTCTTCACTATGAACAAAGGCAACGCCAAGAACAGCAACAGGGCGATTCGTTTACTGGCTAGTGTTGCTAACTGCACCCCGGGGTTACGCCTTCAGGACCATCCGCTCCTCCCTCGTTCTCGACACTTCAGGTAACAAATGCCATTCTAGCAGTCGGTTGTCTGGCAATGGTCTTTCAATATCTATATAAAATATGACTTGTTCATTATGTTGACCAACCATAATAGCCTACGGTTAGGGTTTAGGGTCAAAGCCCATGTCCTCAACTTGGCAGTGTAGCATGCACTCAAGGTTGGGGCAATCGAGGAGTCACTCCGGATGCTACGTGAAGTGGCCAATCACATAGGGTGGTCCGTGCAGCATTCTGAGCAGTTCTTTGAGTAGTGTGACACATTTAATAAAGGCAGCAGTAGGAAATAGCTAAGCTAATAGAACCTTGATATAATTGTGCGACAGAGTAGTGTAGAAGGGAACCAGGAAGGGGAGAAGCGAAGCATATTAGCAGGCGAGAACCGAGCCTATGGCGAACCGAACGAAGCTGAAAGTAATGGAAAGTAGCAACGGATATCAGGAGCAACAGTAAGTGCATGGCACTACTTAGGAATGCAGTAGGCTCAGAAGTTGACTGCATGCTTGTTTGTTTTCTCATCTTAGTTAAAGAAATCAGAATTCTAAACCTCAGAGAAGCCAGTTCAAGCGGCAGTCAGCTGGGCTAGCTGAGTCAGATGTAGCGCGCCGAACCCCCACTCATTACAAACAAGAAAGGATATGAGCAAGAGCGTACAACTAAGATCTGGTTTTAGCTACCACCGAAGAACCATGGAGACAACTCAGGCAACACCTGAGTGGCGCGAACATGCTAGCCGCATAAGGTCTGAAGGGAAGAGTGAGCCCGCGTCGACACGTAGTGTGTCACCGACATACAGGACACCGCATCAGCGCGAAAGGAGTGATACTAGGAGAGAAGGTGGCGGCAATCCGACAGCCGCATCAGACCCGGGGACCGTGCCGCCTGACGTTCGGTGCGACAGAGAGGCCCGAGACAGATGGAACGCACGAGGCGACAAGGAATCGGCGCTGACGAACTGAGGTCCAAGTTTTGCGATAGCGACTGTGACAAACATGGACTCAAGGAAGTTGCCTCCGCTTCGCACGAACGGATCTCGCAGTTCACTACATCTGTTGATGTACTGTAGTGCATGCTCTCCTGCCTTCATCTGTACGTTGGTTAACCGCGACATAAGTCTGCTCTGTGTGACGCTGCCTGTTGCATGATAAAGTCGCTTCAGGTGTTGCCAAGCTAAGTCTGCTGAATTTTCAACTCCTCATAAGATCTGATGCCTTGTTGTTCAGTTGGTGACATGTTACGAAAACGGATCGTAAATGCCATCATCGACTGAAAACCAAAACCACGCTATTCTTTTGGTGTGTCGGTTACGGGAAACTGCCCCTTACCAGTGAAGTACTCCCAAACAGTGCTGCTTCCATCACAAGCTCGAATTTAAAACTCCAGACGAAGTAGTCTATCCTGTCGAAATGCTTCGAAGCATGAAATTTCAGGATGTTTAGCATTTGATTCTGGTAATTTGTTGCATCTCTCACTCCCAATCCTCCTTCTCCATCTTGTTGCTGTTGCGCAGGTACTCCAAGAGGTACAAACGCAAAAGAGGCCCACGGCTGCTGTCCATGACTGTAAGCCTGTGTTGATAATAAAGATTTCGTCAATGAAACGGTAAGATTGTAGTTTTAGGAAAACGTAATCTCTCCAGCCAGCTCTGATGTTGGGCTAAGTAAAAGGCAGTAGGATACCACGATAATACTGAAGTAATCACTTATCGAACTACTGAATTGTATAAGTCATTCCACTTTAATCCAACACATTCAAAGACAGCCATAATGGATGTCAAACATTATATATGTTGTATTTGTGTAGGCTACAGTGGGTTAGCCTTTAGGGGGTACATTATTCTAGGGTTAGGTACTTGTACTCCCATTCCTCTCTAGTCAAACACTTCTCTCGATTCTAACATGGTTTCAGAGCAGGTCCTCCGCTAGGACCGATTTTTCTTAGGGCCCACCACTGCTGACTGCCTACTAGCGCCCTCGTGCGCCCTACTGTCGGAGCGCCCTCGAGCGCCTCCCCCAGCGCCCTCGTGCGCCCCTCTTTAACGGCCCCTTAAGGCCCCGCGACCCGCGACCCGCCCCTTAGCGACCCGCGCGCCGCCCCTTAGAGGCCCCCCCCTCACGGCCGCGTCGACCCTGCGCGCAGCCCCTTAGAGGCCCCGTCGGCCCCGTCGACCCCGCGCGCGCCCCACCTAGCGGCCCCGTCGGCCCCGTCGACCCCGTGCGCGCCCCCCTTAGCGGCCCCGTCGGCCCCGTCGACCCCACGCGCCGCCCCTTAGCGGCCCACCACACGGCCCCGTCGACCCCGAGAGCAGCCCCTTAGAGGCCCCGTCGGCCCCGTCGACCCCGCGCGCGCCCCACCTAGCGGCCCCGTCGGCCCCGTCGACCCCGTGCACGCCCCCCCCTTAGCGGCCCCGTCGGCCCCGTCGACCCCACGCTCCGCCCCTTAGCGCCCCGCACGCGCCAGCCACGGCCCCGCCAGAACCAAGCAGCCCGAACCGAGCCGCCCGAACCGAGCCGCCCAGCCCGAGCCGAGCCGCGCCGCCCGAACCGAGCCGCGCCGCCCTCCCCGTACTGAGCAGCCCTCTCTGGACCGAGCCGCCCTACCTGAGTCGCGCTGCCTGCTGCTTTTAGGGTTTCGCCTACTGCTCCTACTGCTACTATGGCTAGCCCTCCTGTGCTAGCTTTCGATGCTGAGGGCCGCCCAGTGAAGTTTGACACCTGGCTAGATGACCTGCACCTCTTCCTACAACTCACTGCCAAGGAGGACATCTCACTGTACGATCACGCCTTAGGCCATGCCACTGCCCCTGCTGCTACTGCTGACAGCACTACCCGCTCACAGTGGCAGACTCGTGACGCCCACGCTCGCTTTGCTATTCGCAACTCCCTGCCGATAGATGAGCGCGAGCACTTTGGCCAGCACAAGACTGCCCAGGCACTGTACACTGC